ACCTTAGAATCATAGGACAGTTCAGTTTGGAAGCGACATCAGGAGATCATTAGTCCAACCTTCTGATCAAATCAGTCAGCTAAGACCCTTATTTACTTCAACCAGAATACACAGACTTTCCTATAACATCTGCATGAGGATGGTAGTGGCTGCTTCTTAATGGGTAAATTCAACAGCCCCAGGGAATGTTAGTGTCACAGAAAAAGTGTCACAGACTGGCCAACTCCATTATTCTCAACTCTTTTTGCTTCCAAAACCAGGCAGTGGCATTCAGGTTGCCTACTGGAAATGGTCTTTGTCACATGCAAACTGCTGAAACTGGAACCAGGAAAAAAAAAAAACAACAAAACATTCTGGGGCTGTTTTAAGTATCTCAAAGCACAGATAGGACCTTTCACCATCAAACTGGTCAGCAGAGATGTAGCCAGTGTGTCACTGTCTGAACCTGCAAGGTGTGAATTCCAGGGCATTCCGATTTTTGGCAGCTACAGAAAAGTCTGAAAAGCAGATTTCTGACTTTTGGCTCACCTTCTACATGCAAATAGGAAAGCTTCTAATTAACAGCACAAAAATCAAATACCCATCAAGGGTATTTGATCTGGCCAGAAGGAAATGCCAAGATCCAATTAAAATCAAATTTTTTATCACTGACTTGACTGAAATAAGATGAATGGCATAAATAGCATCAGTCACAGTTACCTCACTCTTGATAATATATCAGACAGCTTTTGAGGTAAACAGGGCTGCTTCATAAATCATCAATAACGCAGCTTCATGCATGTGCTTTGTCAAAGTATTTGCAGAAAGCCTGCAAAGCAGTTGAAGTAAATATATATATATATATTTTTTAATTAGAAGCTTCCCTGATAGTTGAATAAATTTAAGAGATGGAAGAACTTAAAGATGTGGAACACCTGAGCTTATGTAAAATGAACACTTCGTTTTTTCTGATATCTAGTACATGCTACTATTTATGAGAAGATTTTTCTAAATAAAGGAGAACTACCCCTATTGATGAAGATGATCCAGGGTTTCTTGTTTCAAAGTTTTTAATTGATTTCTTCCTATAGCAATATATAAACAAGACCTCCTAAAGTATGTGGTAGTCTGGCTGTTAGGGTGTTGGAGTTGGCAATGGTGAAGTCCCCTTCTCTACATAATTCAGAAATCTGTTTCACTCCGCATCACTCCATACTTTAAACAAAAAGGATAATTCTATGGCTTTTTACACACTAATCAATCACCTCAGTTTTAAACTACAACCATTTATTCTTTATTCCATTTAAACCCCACAACAAAAGCTTAGAGAAAACTAACATCTCCGCAAACAGGTTCTCAGCAGCTCTGCTCTCAGTTTTGTGTTGCAAATAATAAAGCAAGGGGAGCAAGACTAGATTGCTGTTGTGCCTTGATCCATGTTCTGGACAGGGCCTGTTTAAATATAGCTCAGACTGCCTGTGGCTCGATTCAGTCAGGTCCCCTCATGCAATTAGTTTCCTACCTATCAACATAAGAGCACATTGCTCTGAAGGGCGAGTAAGAAGAGGATGTGAAGATAGGGCCCTGCAGGTACACCAGCACCGCATCAGACAGAAAAACAGAACAGCCCTCAGTCAAAGGATGCAGGCAGGTAGCCAAATCCACACTGACTGCAGATGAAGAGCTGACATCAAATATCACCTGAGCAGCACACAGGAAGAAGTTGCTGGAAGGCTGTGAAAGACAACGGATAGGCAAGGGGGGATAAGACCCTGATTAGAGCCTGCAGTGTCACGCAGGAGGCGGTATGGACAGCACAGCTATGTGAAGTTTTGAACAAATGCAGAAGTCCTGAGTGGCCGATTGAGGATGCTGAAGCTTTTCAGACCATCATCACATTTTTATGACAAAAGAAAAGTTAAAATCCAGCAATCCTTAGTGAACACTCTGGAAACAGAGGGATGCATTGCTCAGTTGCACTGGCATTTGTACCTGGTCTCTCCAATGAGATCTTGTGTGTTAGTTCCCACATAGGGTACAAATACAAGACTATAATTTATACGAATTAAAATTAATAGACTAGACTAGAGTAGACTAGAATATTTCAGTTGGAAGGGACCTACAATGATGAACTAGTCCAACTGCCTGACCAGTTCAGGGCTGACCAAAAGCTAAAACATGTTCTTAAGGGCATTGTCCAAATGCCTCTTAAACACTGACTGGTTTGGGGCATTGACCACCTCTTTAGAAAACTTGTTCCAGTGTTTGACCTCTTGCTAAAGAAATGTTTCCTAATGTCCAGTCTAAACCTTCCCTGGTGCAGCTTTGAACCATTCCCACGTATCCTGTTGCTGGATCCCAGGGAGAAGAGGTCAGCACCTCCCTCTCCCCTTCCCCTCCTCAGGAAGCTGCAGAGAGCAATGAGGTCGCCCCTCAGCCTCCTTTTCTCCAGACTAGACAAGCCCAAAGTCCTCAGTCGCTCCTCACAGGACATGCCTTCCAGCTCATTCACCAGCTTTGTTGCCCTCCTCTGGAGACATTCAAGGACCTTCACACCCTTCTTCAATTGTGGGGCCCAGAATTGCACACAGCACTCGAGGTGAGGCCGCACCAACGCTGAATACAGAGGGACAATCACCTCTTTTGTCCGACTGGTTATGCCATGTTTGATGCACCCCAGGATGTAGTTTGCCCTCCTGGCTAGCAGGGCACCCTACTGACTCCTGTTGAGCCTGCTGCCAACCACCACCCCCCAGAACCCTGGGCTGCTTTCCTGCCACTCTTCTCTCAACTTATACTTTGCCTGGCATTACTCTATTGGGAATTTGGACTTGTTAAATTCCATACCATTGATGATTGCCAATGCTAGTAATTGCCCAACGTTACATAGTAATATCCATTAGCAATTAAATACTATACTACTGAAAATCTAAATGAGTCTAATAAAGTGTGTATATATATATATATATATGGAGAGAAATATTAGATAAATATATGCTATTAGACCATTTTATTAAACTTAACGTCCTATCGCGTGCATTTTTCAATGAAATGCTTTTTGCTCAATTATTCCTCTGGATCCAATTAGCTTTTTATTTCAAGACAAAGAAATCAGACATAAAATGAGAAATAATTATCTTAGTCTGAACAAAAGAAAAATGCAGACTGGGGAAATGATCATGTGGGGAGTTGTGTGGTAATTCCTCTGACAGTTAGGAGTGTTAGTTTAGATATTTTTGAGGCATATCTATAAAAATTCTTCAAAATACATTACAAATTACAGTGCTCACTTCTCTTAGCTGCTCTCACATTTAAGACACTACTTCACTGTGGAGAAGTCGTTACCATGTCCCATCTTCGAGAGACAGGTGATTGCTTAATTTTGATATTTCAAGCTCTCTTACTTGCAAAGCAATTAAAAAACCTTGTAAATGAAAACTCGGAGTATCAGAATGCAGATAAATCCCTTCTCAAAGCTTCTTTTTTATTATTTTATGACTAACTTTCAAAAAACTCTTCCTTTTAGATATCTGAAATATGTTCTCTTTCTGATATGATGAACAGATCTTGTTAGGCAAACCGCTGCACTGGGAGTTGCCATATGCATGCTTTTCTCCAAGGTTTCAGAATATGCAGGAAAGGGAAATAAAGATGAATTGCTTATTTTCATTCCTCACATTTTTATACAACTAGTTTATCTCCATTTTTAAACTCTTCTTTCTTTTCTTTTTCCCTCCCCCACAAACTGAATTGACGCCCCTTTGCCACAATGAAAAGCCAAGTGTTGAATGCAGTAAGCAATTTACCCTTTTCTCCTCTAGAGAGGGTCTGTCAAGGTCATGACTGAGGCGTCTGAGGCAATAGTAGTTAGCTTCAGAGTTGTGAAATAGAGTTGTTTATTCTTTGCCTGCTCTGTTGTGTGATCTTGCTGTGCTGCTATTGACTTCAGTGACCGCAGAACTGGGATTCTACAGAGAAACAGCAGCCCTGTTTGTAGACCAACAGTAGCAAAGCACTTTTCCTGCCCTTAGCATACTATTCAAATATTAATGAACACTAGCTCTAATAGTATTTCTGGTGCAAATAATTGTTGTCACACAGGCAGAACTGGAAGAGTGCTCTCTCTGTTATCCCGATGGATACAGCTCAATTATTTTAGTTGCAAGCTTCCCAGGGCAATGTGCTGGAGTATCTCAGTACTGATTTGGAAGAGGCAGTCCTAGGTCTGAGACACTACTAAGGTGCCTGTGGCTATGAACGATATATGTTGTCTTGTATCAGAAAAGGAAGATACTATTTTAAGACAGTAAAATTCCCCCTATAACCAATTAGCATATTAAATGAAAATAGTGCTGCTACAAAGTCCCCTTGTTTCAGACCGTTAACAAATATGCCCACATGTGTTTCCTTTTGAAGAGGTGAAATGGTCTTTGCCATCATGCAGAGTGGAAGAAACTGATTTTAGAATCACGCCACTATTGTAACAGAGCAAATGATGTTCTGACCAAATCCACCGAAAATAATTCACCTTTAGACAAAGAGTAACTCTGGAAAATTTCAGTCAATAAAGTCACATTTTTGAAACATTGAAAATTAATCAAAAATGACAATAGACTATAAAAGTATTTGCAGGTTCCATGGTAACTGTTTTTGTAATGTTGTTGAATGCTGTTTTATAATTCTAAGCTAAAGGACTCAATGAGTCCAGACACTTCACTCAGACATCTTTTTCTCTCCCTATCTCTCTCTTCCTGTCTGATAGGAGTAACCTGTGCCACTGAACCTTGCATGCAGTTAAGCATTTAATGATAATCTGGCTTTTAGACTCATTTTATCACTTCCTATACTTTGCTAACTAGAAAGTTATCTCTTCATTTCACAGACTAAGTGGTTCTTTATGAGAAATGACATCATGTATTTTACATCGTACCCATTTCTAAAAGATATGAAAAACCACGGCATATACTTTCATGAGTCTGGTCTTTTCTTTTTTCTTTTTTTCTTTTTGTTTTGTTTAACAGATACGTTAGGTCAAGAACGAAGCATGACATTGACATGAGAATTGGGATACATTCAGGATCGGTTCTGTGTGGAGTGCTGGGCCTGCGAAAGTGGCAGTTTGATGTCTGGTCATGGGACGTGGATATTGCAAATAAACTCGAGTCAGGTGGAATTCCTGGGTAAGGCAACGTGTATTTCCCACAGTCAGAAAACATTGCCAACACAATACACTGTAAACCCTCCCAACAGATTGACTGTCTTACATTATTTCATCAACCACGACGTTCTTTTTTTCTCTTTTCACCATTTTGCGGTTGGCAAGGATTTGTGATGCTATAGTCAAAAACGGTAGGGATCATCAGGTTGCAAAGGCATTGGAAAAGACAAAAATATTTCTTTTTCTTTGCCCGCTATGGTGTGCTGAAAAGGTCAGCCCATATATTACTCAGAGGTAGGCCAAATTTCCCAGTTAGGTGTTGACCGTTCCTGAGTTTTTCCAGGCTTCATTCTCTTGTCCTTTGCATTCAAATGCTGCTGCGAGGCACAAGGTTGTAATTTATTTTATTTCATAGCACACAAAGTATGGGAAGAATTATGTATTCTTAGGTTGTTATGCTAATAACAAGGTGTTATGGGCAGCAGTGTCTCTGGGAAATCTTTTAAATAATTTGACGCTTTAGTAGATGTTTTGAGACATTTATGTCAGCCTGTCTATATGTGAAAATATATGGTTTTCCATTGAGCTGACTGGTTTTTCTTTGTCTGAGGTGGCTGATTCACCTGGAAGAGGAAATGATATTTCTGCCTGACATGGCCTATATTTAACTGTAATTTGGGAGCTGAAAATCCTAATTTGAAGCAACAGTAGTGGCTGCAGGAATACTCTGTTCACTTTCAGTTCCACTTTCCATTGATGAAAGATGTAGCAAAAGATCCCCTACAACAATTCAATTTTTGTCCATGGAACGTAAAAGCAATAGCAGTGGACATTTTTATGTTGAAAAAAGTCTAAGTGATGCCATCATCTTGAGTGAGAAAGGTTTTAAGTCATCAAATCTCAGTCGCGTGCTGTACTCCCTGTGCGCACATTAGGATCGTCAGAGCTGCTATGTTCCCAGGAAGTTAGAAAGATACTCGCTTTATATTGTATTTTCAAATATAGGCCCCTTCCACGGTTCCCCATAGTAGCCCTTTATACTATTAAGTATTCTTAGAACCAACAGAAAATGAACCATTGTGTCCTCTGGAAACAACTTCTATGCTCTGCACATCATCAGTTCATAAAACTGCAGAAAAACATTTCTTTCCCTGCTGCTTATCCCACAATAGCCCCAGATGACTAAGAAAAGTCACATGCTGCTTTGTTGACATGAGCAAATCAATCATCTAAGTTTCACCATCAGCACCTGCAAAAAGTATAGTTTATTGCAGTTAATGCATGCGAGTAATACAGCTATTAATGAATAACCCAGAGAACACACCAGCTTGCTGTTGGTAAAATGCCTGGCTAGGTCGCAGCCTACTGGAGCAGAGGGATTTCCACTCCTGTATATCAGTTTGCCAACAGAACAAAGCCTGTATGTGACAGCAGTTCACTAAGTCCCTCAAAACAGTGACTTACATCAGGATTTCCTAGTGTGCAGGGCAGATTTAACAGAGCAGTTAAGTTCACTTCAGCCTCACCTTACTTCTCCCTGCTGCCAGCATTCAAATCCTCCTCCTTTCCCCAATGCCGAGATCATTCCCATTCCCAGAGCTGCACTGCTTTCCTCTCTTCCGTCAGAAAAGCTGCCCTGGGGTTATGAATGGTCGTGCTCCCACAGTGGGAAACAAGAGCAAAGATGAACCATGGCCCTTTCCTGAGAGCACAGCAGAGGAAGGCAGCTCACCTGCCCAGGATGGGGAGGATCCTCCTACCCAGTCCGGGGTTCATCTCTTCCCCTCGCCAGTTGTATATCACTCTGAGACCTCATAACCACGGGTGATGCAGAGACATTTTGCACCCGAGTGAAGCAAGTTGGGCAGCCCAACTGTGGTGGAAGGAGGCACTTGGGAGCACCAAGGAAAAGCAATCATTTCTGGTTTTCTGAGAGGAAAAAAAACGTGTCCACGACACTGGAGAAGGAAATCGTGTAAGATCCTAAAGTGTTATGTCAGAGATACTCTTCCATCAGGACCCCATTTTCTAATAGTTTTCATCTGGTATATCTAGGTATAAGTCTATGGTATTTAATTGGAAGAAAACCAATTAATTTTCCAAGATGACAGGTATCATCTAAAGCTTTGGGCCTGGCATGTTTTCAACAGTAGGACAGGCTTTACTTTCTGACTTCAATGCTCAGGGTCCCAATTCACTGTACTTGTATGAAATTAGAAAGACGTTCCTCCACTACGCATGTTAAGGTTTTTTAAGCAAGCTGTACAAGAGGTGAAACCAGAAAATATTTTTAATCTACCAGCTATTTATTAATATTTGGTCCATTTAAGGGTATTGCATCAATAGCCAGCTCCACACTCTAGTTAAAGCTGTTATCATTTCCATTATAAAACCCGTATTTCAGGGCTTTATAATGCAATCTTCCCAAATTATATTAGTTGAAATTCAGCACAAAGATAGTCACCCTGGCAACTAATGTATCACTTTTTTTTTTCTTTTTTTTTTTTTTTTTAATTTGTACTTTACTTAAATCAATTTAGCCTATTTGGATTTCTAAGAGCTAGGAAACGCATTGTCTTTCTGAGAGGTCATATGCTTCGGTTTTAATGTCCAGGCCAAAAGTTGTTTATATTTGAGAAACATTTTTACTGTTTTTTATTGTCAGTTTTACTGACATTTGACTACAAAAGAGTTCTAATCTCCGTGGACATCATAACAGCATGATTTCACACAGTGAAAGTTGTACAAAATCTGTGTTGACTTCAGAGGGAAGCTGAGACAGGTTAAAAAATGGCTGAGATACAATTTTTTGATCTTTTAATTAGACACTGACATTTAATACTCCACGTAGACCCAGTTTGTGCCAAATTCTGGTAATCATGGGCATTTCAAACTGCTTAAAGCCAACTAGCTCTTTATTTTCTGGCAATATGTGCATGTCACACATGCACTTATAGCCTTTTATTCCATTAGCATTTTACGCAATTTAACTCTGTAGTGGCATCCTTTAAGCTCCAGAAGAAAGTTCCCAAGGGGTGTGCTAGGACCATATCCTTCAGTGGAGATAAGCCAGTGTGTGGTGCCTGAGAAAAATGCCTCAGTATGTGTCATCAAGAAATGATCAAGAATTTTAGCTGACTGAATTTTAGGAATCTGTCTGCAAGTCTGACTTTCAGAAAGTGCCATGCACCCAAAGTTTGAAAAGTGAACCAATTTTAATGGAGTCACTACATTTATTTTCTTGAGTTATATACATGTTTAACGAACATCTCCCTTTATTGCATTTATGATGCTGCATTATAAAGTATAACACGGCTAACCATGTGGATGAGTTTTAGAAGTGTCTGCAATTTACCCTACATGTAGGAACTCAAAGATTTCTTAAAAATACAAATAGAAAGACCTACTCTTTTTAATTTTTTTTTTACTTCTTTCTGTCTTCCTCAAGCAGTCATAATTAGGGTTAAGAAAGTCCAAATACCAAACACTTCCAGGTTTGGTTGGAAGACATTCAAAACCCTATCATGCTTTTGCGAAATTTGAGGTTTTTGTATGTCATCTCTTAAATTCGACTTCACTTTTGCAAAAGTTTTTTGAACTCACTGCTTAGTCTAACTAGAAATTATCACCCCACTTGCCTTTGTATAGTTCCTCTATTTCCCTAATTCACTTCAGATGCTGTCAGACCACTAATTTCAACTGTCTAAGCTACCTCAAGTAACTGAAGGTAATTAAAGAGCGTCACATAGACGGCTCTAATGCACAACACATATTTTCCTCTCACCATATTTACCTGAAGTGGCAATTTTCATTCACTCTGAATAGTGTTTTACTCAGGAAGGTCTCCCATTAAACTATTACTGTGAGCAAAGGTATCAGGTGTGAACATCAAAATGTTTTTCCTATGACAGGACTTTGTGTATTCATGAGATCCTATTGATGTGAACATGTCTCGAGAGTATTTGTCCCCAAATGAAGCTCATGTTTGTTGGATATACTAATTTTCTGTATAGAAAACATCATAAACAATAGAAAACCTTCTATTTATCCATCACGTTAAAAATGATGCAGAGTTCATAAACCCCTTCTCACCTATGTACACTAGAGTGCAATCAGTATTTGCTACTACTTATTTCACTTATGCAGGAGAATTCACATCTCCAAAGCCACTCTGGACTGCCTGAACGGGGATTATAAAGTTGAAGAAGGGCATGGCAAAGAGCGTAATGAATTCTTGAGGAAACATAACATTGAGACATATTTAATTAAACAACCTGAGGAGAGTCTGTTGACTTTGCCTGAAGATATTGTGAAAGAGGCTGTCAGCTCCTCTGACAGGAGAAACAGTGGAGCAACATTTACCGAAGGATCCTGGAGCCCTGAACTTCCATTTGATAACATAGTGGGAAAACAGAACGTAAGTCAAACTTCCTTTAATGTCATCAAGTATGAATGCATGCTTGAGTGCATTGCAATAATGGAAGCCTCAGAGGAGACAAATTCATCTTTAACCTTTATTCTAACACATACTATAACAGCAGAGGATTAAACGAATTGTTTCAGAGCTGAAATAAATCATGTATCCAAACTGGGGAAATGCCAGTGGACCAGAGGTTTTTGGATTTTTTCCCAACTGAAATTAAATATTACACAGCTTAGTTTTAGTTGAACCAGTCCATAAAGAAGTAAATTAAAAATAAAGCTAATGTTACTAAACTAGCTGAAACATTCTAGTCAGAGTGTGTATCTCTGCATAGCTTCACTGCACTGCCATCAAAGTAAAGAGATGAATGGACATTTTGCTAGATGAAAAAGCATAGTGTAAGTTATTGACACATAAGGGGAAGAAAAAATATCTACCTCAAAAAACCACCTTGTTAAAACAGGTTGTCCTTTTTTTTTAAAAAAAAAAAAAATAAATAATTAAAAACTTAGATTCTAAGACATAATTAAGGTTCACTAGCAGGTGAGTTAGACTCTAAGGTCATGAGTAGCTCAATAGAAATATGAGACAATAACAGCTGCTCCTGATCAGATCTTTTCTCCAAAAGCACTGCATGGCTAATTGCTAGCACACTGGGAAACAGCAGTTCCTGTACAGTCATAAAAATCGCATTGTGAAATCTGTTTGCTTAGAGGAATTAAAGATGGAAAGGTTAAAATGCCCTCAGACACCATTCTTCACTGCATTTGAAAGATTGATGAGTCTTTATGAAACAAGGTCAGCTGGAGTTTTCTTATATTTTTCTGAGGGATCTGTAATGACATGATATATCCTTTCTTCTGCTGCACGTCCTTAGTCCTGCTTGTCTGCACTGTCTGTTGAACTTCAAGCATTGTTGTGTGGAGGTCTTGCTTTGTCAGCCATCTTCTGCTTCTCACAAGTCTGCTCAGAAGTGATAAGCCTTCACAATCCATCAGCCCACGGCAGTGTCTTCATCTCTTCAAACTGAACCAGAGCATGACATAGTTGGCTGTTATATAAAACACATGTTTTAGAAAGGTTCTGTACATCTGTGTATCTGCATGTACACTGCCTTTTAGTATTCTCCGTATTTTGTTGACCTGTGTCTGTATTTTCATTTCATTAGGAATAGAGGTATGGGTGCATGCTGCTGTGAATATCTTCTGATGTCTCTCTGTTTCTTCTTCTTTCCTTTTAAGACATTCCAGTTTCTGTAGTCCAAAACTTCTATGCAGAATAGGCTATCCTTTCATTGACCATTTTCTCAGCTAAACCTGACCTTGATACCAACAAAGACAAAGAATGAAATAAGGGACTAGAGTTTTTATTCAATTATTGAACTAACTACTGACTAAACTAGTAAAAAGCATGAAAATCATTGAAATAAGCATAACTAAACAGTTGTTTTAAAGCAGATTTTTGTCTTATGGCAATAAACAATCCATTTTTAGAATAGTTTCTCACTGTTTTGTTGAAGAACTTGTTTTTGTGCTGGAAATAACCATAATTTTATATTACACAGTTTTACAATAAGCTTTTTCGTGGAGACAAGATTTTAAAAATTTACTAGTCCATCTGTGATTCAATTATTGTGTAATTTTCAATTTTAAAGTTGAGACAATAAGCATTACTGCTTATAAATAATGTATTTCAGCTCAAAATTCAGAGGATAGCTTTAAATTATACTAGGACATAGTAGCTTTTTCCAGAGGCATGTCAGTCTTGGACAGAATAAGCATTTAATAACATTAATTATGCAACCTAAAGGTCACTGGCAGCAGCAGACATTGAGAATCCAAGTAGCAGCAACCCAAGAATTAATCACTCCATACATTTGAACATTTGCTGTAGCATTTAAATTTTTTTTCTTTGCCCGATATAAGGTACAACAAAATTTGAGCAACTTTTATCACATGTGTCTTTCTTTTATCTGTAGTTATGTTAGGAAGAATATGAAATGTCGAAGTCTCTGGTGAGTTCTCTTGCCAAACTCACATTCATCACAATCCATATTCTTTACCTCAAATTTATTTTCTACAGGCAGCCTAAGTCAGTGAATTGAAGATCTGTTGATATGAGCAAAGAACAGAATAACCACTTTTTATGTACGCAGTCACAGATATTAACAAAAGCTACGTGTGTCTACAGCACATTTAGCACCATGTGCCTTGGCTCTAATGGTGAGGTAAGCCAAGGATGCGAGTCCCTGATCTGAAATTCAGACTATGCCCAATATGGATGGAGTTTATTGAAACAAGTGTCTGGGCTTCTTTCTTAAAGCAAAGAAAGTTGGATAGAAGGTATTTTATGTTAAGAGAGTAAAGGCCTCCTCCTCCAAGATAAATTTATAGCTGATTAAGCTGGATTTCTTTGCTGAGCCTTACCACAGAAGTAGCTGAAAGCCTAATGTGGTCAGTGTGTGTGTTGCTGTAGGCACATGATGGGCCTGTAGTGATGTGAATTGGCAAAAAAGCATATTAAAATGTTTGTGTCTTGTACAAGCGTATTTTAGTGGTGACTGCAATGACTCTTAGCAGTTATCACAAAAATTATCACTTAAAGACAGACAAGATGACAGACAAGTCCAAACAACAGGGTGGAATTCAGTTCAAAACTGGCACCTGCATTTATGTGTATGCCGACTGTCCCAGGTGTCGACCTCCCACACAGCTCAGCTCCTAAACGTGAGGGTCTAGAGCTACTTGTGGAGCTCTAGGGTGCCTGAGACATCCATACAACAAGGGGCCTATAAAAGACCTGTCATCATCTGGACTATCTGTTAGAACCCAAGCAAGAGACTCTGATGTCTCAAATAGTTCTAAACACCTATGCTGAAACATGCTGAGTAAAAGCTTGACTCAGCTTAACTGTGGCTGTCTATTGCAGCTTGAGATACCCTAACGCACTCCGGCTGGTCCCCACCTCCAGCCAGCAGTGCATCGGGTTCCTGTAGGTCTTGTACCATATCTCCTAGCTCCAGACTGTTGTCCAAGATACCCTCGGGCACCTCGGCTGACCATAGCTGCATATGACTGGCCAACTGAAAGTATCCAGAGTGTATATTGCCAGTAATACGAACTTAGACACCAAGCACCTAGGCACCTAGGTTCCTCTTGAACCAAATCCTACCTGTATCCTGTCTCTTTAAACCCGTGACTTTGTATTTCCCTATTTGCCTCTACGTCCTGGTGTTTGCAGGAAGAAAAAATAATTTAAAGCCTTCCTACATTTTTCTAAAGGGCACCAATTAAAAATTCCCCTTGTTGAGGTCAGGATGTTTGGACTTGTTGCAAGAAAACTTTGCAGGAAGGAAGTAAAATCTAATCCCAGCCACCTTTTTTAAATCTCTGTAAGATATCTCTAAAGTTGAAGTTTTATTATTTGTTTGTTTTAATTCATCCTATCTTTTAGCGTCGGATGAAGGCTTGGCTGGGCTTTTTCCTAGCAGGAGCTTGTATGTGTTCCTGTATGATGAACGGCTACTGCCAGCACCAGGAAAGTTCAAAAGCCATTGTATCTTACAATTCACAGTCGTATCTTCCATACAGCTGTTCACAAAGGTGCAGGCGAGATAATAGGGAGAACCAGTATTTCTTTATGCCGGCATAACGCAGTCTTAAAAGCTGCAGAGCAAAGAGGGGGATACAGAGACAAAATGTGTTTAGATCATATTCTTGGGACAACAATTTGCATTATATTTTTCATTATTGTTATTATTAATTACAGGAGTTCAGTTGTCTTTAGTATGTGTACGGGTGTGAGGGAGAGATGACTACCAAACTGAAATATGAATTTCCTTGTTATCCTCTGAAAATAAATTCAACTTCCGAGTCCGTTTTTGCATCAATACTACTGGCACCATTGCCATAGAGGTGATATTATGTCATGTTCATCTACCATGAATCGTAACCCACTTCATACATTCAGCAAGAAGACAGTTCTTTATATTAATCAAATTTTAAAATACAATTTGAAGCAAAAGTAAGTCACTAGTAAGGATGAATTGAGATCATTCTCCTCAAGTAAATAAAACACAATGTTCAAGTAAAACATTAGGGACCCCTGCTTGCAGTGGAGATACAGCAATATGAACTAATTCTGAGGCATTAACGCACACAACAGCATCTGACGTGATCTTGTCCTTTACCAGCGTCTTCAGATACTCTTGTAAGATTTCAGCCACCACAAACTGGTAACAACTTTTCTGCACAGATCAGTTTAAAAGAGATAGGAATACCTAAACTAAAGTAGCATCTCAGTATGCATTAATGCAGTATTTATCCAGTTGACTCAAAGGATTTTTAGCCTGGAATTTGGCTCTAACTAAGGTTTCCACCTTAGCTCCAAGGCTAAGATGGATTCAGGCATATCTGAAATTTTAGCATGAGAAGAGAAACTTTAGTAAGAGAAAAGTTTCCTGGATTTTTTTCTCTTTAACTGTTGATAATACTGATTGCCTGAAGGGAAAATGGAGAGATTTGATAGAGTGGTGTGCCAAACCTTCTCTACTGAAGTCCTTTCTCTACCAAAGCAACAGGAAAACTGCTGCTCACTTCCATAGACAGATTTCATCCCTGACACCATTTTCTGCCTATTTATTGGGCTCTTAAATCACTCATCAGACAATGGAGTATGAGAAAACAAGGTATCATCTGTGATTATGGAGTCCTTGGACTTTATTTTATGACTGCAAAGAAAGCTGTCAATTGGGGTTTGACAGGGGGTGCCTGAGACCCTTCCTGTGTTTTAATATTCCGTCCAAGATTCCTTAGAATGTAATGGTGACTATCCCTTGAATATGAACAGGGGAAATATCCTTATATAATTTCTACAGAAATCTAGTAATAAAAGCATCCCAAACTCCTGTTCCCAACAATGCCCAGCAGGACATATAGCAGAAGATTTTTCCAGCAAGGACCTATGGGATAACTTTTCTCAAGCAGAAGTGTACTTCTTGTCCATAAAAATTCTGAAATGTCTTATGCTGTGATGTATGAAGGCTTATATCCTTTCCATTCATTAACATTTCTTAACCCTTGGGAATATCACAGGTAGTAGAATTTATTTTCCCATTCAAGCGGGAAAGTGCTGCTTCACTGTGGTTTGTGTCATCAAATGATACCATGAAACTGGATTGAGTTATTGTCTTTATGAAAGCAAACTCTACCTCTTTCCTGAAGGTGAAGCACCCACCATGCTATCTCGCTAGCTTTCCTTTGCAAAGCCGTGCAAAAGTATTTTCTTTTTTTCTTTTGAGTAGCCAACGAAATACCAAAGGAACGGTGGGTTTGAAGTAATGAAAAACGATAACATAAATTACAGTTAAATTAAATCATATAACCTAACTGTAATCTAAACTGGCTGAAATATATCAGTAGTGAAGAAGAACATATTCTTTGAAAACCCATGCTGAAGTAATCAGAAATGTCACCTTCTTCACTCCTGCCTAACTGATCTGTTCCTTAACTACACACATGCAGTAACTTTGAGATGAAGAAAAACATCATTACATTTTATGACTTCTGTTTTCTGTACCTTCTTTTCTTAGTTGTGAAAACACACCATTGAGTTACATACCCTGCTGTGATTTTGGTGTGTACTCTCCTCATGCATGCTCTAATAATTAATTAGCAGAATCTGGAAAGAGGAATATGGTCCTAGTGTTCAGTGCAGCAGTAAACCTTCTAGTCTGTATAAAAGAGGGCATTAAAGTACTCCCCTTAATGTACTGTATGTGTTTAGTGGAACAGACTTATTATTTTACACTTCTGTAGATTTCATTGAATGGATTGCATGGAATGCTGTAATGGTTTGCAATGCAACATGATCTAAAACATTGCATTTTTAACCCAAGGGGACCAGCAGGTTTATTCTGTTTGCATGTGCTTTCCCCTAGACTCTGGCTGCCCTAACAAGAAATTCAATAAATCTGCTTCCAAACCATCTTGCACAAGCTTTGCATGTCCAGTCTGGGCCTGAGGAAATTAACAAGCGAATAGAGCACACCATCGACTTACGGAGTGGCGATAAATTGAGAAGAGAGCATATCAAGCCTTTTTCACTGATGTTTAAAGACTCCAGCCTGGAGCATAAGGTAGCTGGGTCTTGATAGCTGCATTATTCACAACTTGAATTGTAACAAATGTCCACTGAAATAGAGAAGCTGTAGGCTGTAGCTTGCGTTGATTGTTTTCTGGGTTTTGTTTTTCTTTTTCCTTTTGTTTCAGTTTTCAGAAGTTGGGACTGAGCTAGAGGTCATAATAGACAGTGTCATCATGGAGGTGTTATGATGCTGCAATGATTACATTCCGTTGTTGGGAAATGCCTACACTGAGCAAACTCTGCTTCTGAAAACAGCAGCCGTTTGCCGGGTTTCGTTCGCTGTCTAGTACAAGCAGTTTTCTGTCAGATGACAGGTTGCTTTGGCAGAAATGGTGATTGAGCATATTAATAAACTGACACTTCTATTCAAAACATGTATCTATATTTATACAGATAAGTTTCTTTCATTTAGTCATAGGATCCATCTGATATCCCCTAGGCAGCTGCTATGTTTATTTCAAGTCAAAACTAATTTGTCAACTCTTTGTTTTAAACATCCTTTTTAAACATCTGCTTCTAAGAGGTAAATATTGCTCATGTCTTTACTGCTTTTCAACGGCAGTATGATCTCACTAATTTCTATTTCAGTCTACATCCAGATGTAAGTTATAAGTTAAAAAGATAAGGCAATGGGAGAATTTCCCTTGCAAACTGATGACATTGGGTGGGGTTGCACAGATCTCAAATTGTTTCATTGACTTGTATGTTATTACAATGCAGCAACAGCTGGTCTGCGATAGGATGTGCACTTAGACTGAAAAGAAAGAAAAATAATGGGAAATCGCAAGCACGGAGGCCCACTTCCTCGTCATCACTTTAACCTCCACTGGAAAACAGACTTTCTTACTTGCCTTATGGGAGAACAGTCCTCGGGTGTTATCAGTGGTGAGAGTGTAACGAAAACCGCTGGAAAAGAGAAATTCTACTTGGAGTATATTTAAGCCCTTATTTCACAATCATGCAGATGGAAAAGGAAAGGTTCATTTATAAAAAGAACAGATTTAATTTCCCCATGAGTGTATTTACAACACTGAGACACAAGGTAGAATCCCCAAAACCAAATTAGCCAGTACTGCCGCAACAGAAGATACGAAGATATTTCTTTTGGTGCAGTCACCATGCAAAGCTGACAGGGACACAGAAGTGAAATCCAAGATTTCTGATATCCCATAAATTACCATCAAAAGGCTCAAAAGTCATGAGTAATCTTTTATCTTTTCAAGGCACGACGTCAAAACACAAGGTGAAAAAGCCTAGACAAAATAGTATTTAACCTGGAAGGTGGAGGATGGCATATTAGAAATTTCTTGTGCGAAAGAGGAAACAGCCTGATCACAACTTGCTGAATGAGCAAGTTAGTCAATGGTTGACCTAGTCTCACATTACTATTTAATAAAAATGAGGCCTGAAAATGGGTTGGAATAAAGGCACACTGCCCAGAATCAGATTCTATATTCAGAATATAAACTTTCTTGTCATTTTAGACTTCACAATTAGCAGCCACAAGGAAAATCTATACAGAAAGGGTAGATTTTCATTTAAATGCAATTTAAGCAAGGGGTAGGGGGGGAAACCCACGCTCTAATCCACCACATTACATAGGTCAGATTTTAAATATTAATAACATTTTGAATTGCATCTGGATGGCAAAAAGTCTATTTGAAAGTCAACATTTTGCACAGCTTTGATACATTTTCTTCTCAGTACGACGTTTCCAATGCCAGGCTGTGCCGCAATGATTAGAAAACGGTGCTTTCATTCAGCCTTTCCTTAGGTGCTAGTCCCAACCAGTAAGCACAGGCAAAACAAACAAAATCCTCCCTGTAAAATGGACTGAATTTCCTTTCTGTCCTCTAAATCAGGCTGTTTTTTAGCATTACGCAGAAGTAAAATTTAAAAAAAATATCAGCACTGTTTTACTTGGTCTGGTTCATCCACCTTCAGCAGCTGGATAGTTGCCGGTGAGCAACCTCCTTGCTTGTGTTCAGGGTGCTGGGGCATTGTAAGTGCGCTCAGACAAGGATGGGGAATGCACCAGGGTGCAAAGGGATGATGTGGCTTAAGGAAAGATGAATTACAGTGTCCTCTTCATTATAGGCAGGGGCATTGTCTTGTGGGACAATGTGGGAAATGTTCCTTCCCTCCCTGTTTGCCTGTGCAGTAGTTAGAGGTTTTTCCCGGTAGCCTTAGTGTTAAACCATAGTCTATAGGCAGTCATGAAAAAAATGTGTGAACTGTTTTGCTATAGAAAGTAGCTATTTCCTCCCTGTTACGTTGTAATACTATCACTTTCTCCCTTCTTCCCGCTGATTTAGGAAACAAAACAAAACAAAGATTTAAATTAGAGTCTCATAAAGTTATTTCAGAAGGCTTTTTTCCTCTCCTCTCCCCACCTCTAACCTTTCAGTCTGAAATGACGCTTTCTTCTAGTCATTAACATTTTGCAACTGCTTACATGACCTTCTACATCAGCATCTTGAGCTGCTCCCTGCAGCGTTGCCGAGCAAGTAGACAGGATATGTCTGTGGACCTCCCATTTCACACTGCTGTTTTCGTTTGCTGCCACTCACCTGTTCAGGCTGGTGGCAACTTCAGGTCAGAGGTATCTCCGAAGTAACTTCTCCTACGTACAATCTTGTACCCTCACATTTAGCCATCACACTTTCAGGCAGTGCTGGTACCTGCCTAATACTTACTTCTTTTAGCTGTAAGTACTTCTCACCCCTGACTTTACAGTTATTCAGCAGGCAGAACAACCAGTACCTATAGCTGAGATCCCAATCAAGAAGAGTTATGTTAACCTTGTTCGACAAGAATTGTGTAATGCTGAGTACCTCAAACCACAGAGAAGTGAGTACCCATATGAGCACTAAACTATATTTCTTCCTCCTGCATTAGTAACAAAACTACCATGCTGTAGGATCATAAATCTTTTGGGGTGAATTTAATAGATATGAAATACCATGCTGGACTTCTGTTTAAAAGTCTGGGTTGTTTTGTGGGTTTTTTTCAGTGTAAACCAATTTTAGACAGCAGATTTAAGCTGGCGATGAAAGTGTTGCTTTGTTTCCATTAAGGTTTCAAAAGGTTAAAAAGAAAGTAATTTCTGGAATCAACATGCCCACATCTACCATGGGAGCTAGCACAGCTCCTGGTTTACAATGGTTTAAACAACTGGTATATCATAGCAGTTTAAGACGTTGGTTTATCTTCCCACGCCTCTCTCATCTCATTGTTCTATGTCCTTCTCAGTGATAGAATAAATGTAGATTCCACAGCAAGCAGTAGCAGCTGCATGAGCAACCCCCTGAGGCCGTATGTGTATTTCCACATGAATTTTGTAGTACTTCATTTTTCAGAGAATTTGTGCAGGATCCCCATCTGGTATATTTTATAGATTCTTTACCCAAGTGGACTTTTCATTACTAACCTGTATTCACTCATTAGCATTTGATATCTCATTTAGAGACTAATTCACTCTCAATTTTGCTAAAGGTTATTTTCACAAATAGGATACAGGCAGACAGAGCAAAAGAACCATCACAGGAGGGTACTTCAAACGGTAGCATGAAAATACATTAAGGGTTTCCAAATATGTAATAGCTCATAAGGAAAATCCAATACTACTTTAGATGATTTCCAATGATTAAAAGATATCATCATGATGTTCCAGCTTAATAGCAGTGACTTGGAACTATCATCAAAGAATCACAGAATGGTTTGGGTTGGAAAGGACCTTGAAGATCATCCAGTTCCAACCCCCCTGCCATGGGCAGGGACACCTTCCACTATCCCAGGTTGCTCCAAGCCCCATCCAGCCTGGCCTTGAACATGTCCAGGGAGGGGGCAGCCACAGCTTCTCTGGGCAACCTCTTCCAGTGTCTCACCACCCTCACAGTGAAGTTCTTTATGATAGCTAATCTAAATCTACCCCTTCATTTTAAAGCAATCACCCCTTGTCATATCAGTACCATGTGCTTTCATACAGGATAAAGCCCAGTAACAGGGCAGGGAATTTTACATGCTGGTAGGGTTTTTGTTAAGGAAAGTTTCCAATGTAAAGATTTGTGTAAAGATATTGTAAGTCTTCCAGCATATTTGTATTGGCATTATAAATCAGACTGGGCTTAGAGGTGAAGTGTCTACATATTTACTGTGAGGTGAGTACTCTGGAAATACCAAATAGACCTAAATATCTGAGTTTGTTTCAGAATTTCTGATGGCTAAGATAACTAGAAATTAAATTAGTAGGAAAAAAATTTTGCCCTTCCTGCATGCTGTATCCATGCAGACATGGGCCTCACCTTTCCTTCAACCCAGAAACTTCCATCAGCAAGAAGGTCTGCAAGAAACACTGAGAAAACTCTGGACCAGTTCAACATCTTTTCTGTCTTTGGTCAGCAACTGGATTTGTGTCTAACCTTTGGTCTTAGGAGTTCATTCATCTCTTCTCTGCCTTGGGCTTCCTGATGCATCTTTATCTGTCCCTCCCCTGTACTGCGGAAGCTTGTCCAGTGGCACAAACACCATTGCTCTGAAGAAAAAAAAAACACATGGTCACGCTTTTCATCCAAACAGTCCCATCTGAGTCAAAGAGAATCAGTGAGGATAAGACCAAAACCCTGCCTCCCCAGTGCACAAAGACTTTCTCTAGGCGAACAATTAAAGCCTGTTACATTATCAGTACTCCCCTTTCAAAGAGCCCTGGGAAAAGAGAGGAGAGGTGGGGAAAAAGCAGCAATATTTGGCAGAGGAAATTTGCCCTTTCTTGTGCAAGCTCAGTTTCAGCTAGCTGGCTGGGCTAGCCAGCAGTTAAACAGGTCCCTCCAACGGCACAGGCAAATGGCTCAAGCCCCATTGGAAGCAGTAGTTGCCTTTGCTATTCCGTGAGCAAGTCATACCAGTGTAAGCAGGTCTGTGGGATGTTGTGGCTAAGGTTTTCATTGCAGAGTAAGTCACATCACTATTTTTCCTACCACTCTGTGTGGCTCTAGCTGGCTACATGCCTCCCCCATGGTTACGAAAGTGTCTTGAGGCTTATTCTATCCTTGAATTACTTCTCTAAGTCATTAAGGAATAGACTGCTACAGAAGTGCTACGTTTATCTTTGGTGTTTGTGCTGCCTCAGAGATGCTAACAATTTCTCATTACAAGGTTGTTACTGATTAGACCATAGCATTCATCCTTTTGACATAATGCTCGACACAGCAGGCAAATCCATGTTGGTGTTTCATTCAATTAGTTTGCTGTAATTTCCCTAAGGAACCGTTGGGAT